AATTCTGAGTATCGCTTATCCTCGACTCTTTCCTGGTCGTTCGCTTCCCAAGTCAGACTCCCTCAGGGACGCGGCTCCCTGGGGCTGGTCAGGCTCCTGCCTTCCGGGGAGCAGGCTCGCAGGTACCACAGGACGGCGCTCACCGTCATCCCCTCCCTCGTCCCTTCGCCATGCAGCACCGCTCCTCTGCGCTGCAGAGCCCGGCCAGATGGAGCACAGACAGAGGGGTTCAGTGGGAATACCCCGAGGAGGCTGGAGCCACAGAGACGGGCCGGCACATGCCACCAGGACCACGGCCCTCGCAGCTGACGTCCCAGGCGCGGCGCCGAGGGACGGGCTGCCAGCGTTTGGTGGTGAGCTCGCGGGGACAGACACGCCCTGGCCCGCACGGTGGGAAGACTTGGCCTTTTTCCTCCTGTCCCCCCCACCCCCGGTCCCTCCCCCCACCCCCCCGTCCCTCCTTTCAGCTCCTGTGCCTGCCGCCCAGCGCATTCCCAAGCTCCAGGAATCGGGGCAGGGCCAGTGCGGGAGGGCGGCCATCGAACGTGTCCTGCCCCTGCTCCTGGGCCCGGGAGCAGCCCAGTTCAGAGCCAGGCCTCCCCACTGGTTCGGTTCCGTGTCCTCTCAATTCTCCAGGACATGGTCCTTCACTGTCACCTCTGTGACCTGCAGCCATGGGCTCCTCTCGCTGGCCGGTGAGCTCACACTCAGCGTTACAGCCTCTAACGGCCACGACCACCCTGACACCAGCTCCCCGAGTCCGAGGAGCACGACCTAGTCCTGGGACCCTCCTGCCCGTCTGCCCTGCCTCAAACCCACGTGTCCGAACAAACTCCAGACACCACTGCCAACCCCATGCACACACATGCACACACATGTACACACACATACACACACATGCAAAACCTGCTCCACCAAGAGCACCTCCCAGTGGTAGCTCCATCCTGTCACAGCTCAGGCGGAACTCCTAGAACTCTCCATGCTTCCTGCCTGCTCTCAGTCCCCACCCCCCAACAGCCTCCTGATGCCTCTCAGACCTGTATCCGACACTTCTCACCACGCCCCCCACCCGCCCCAATGGCAGCGGTAGCCCCCCACCCGATGGCGGCGGTAGCCCCCAACCCCGATGGCAGCGGTAGCCCCCCCACCCGATGGCGGCGGTAGCGCCCCCCCCCCCACCCGATGGCGGCGGTAGCCCCCCCCACCCGATGGCGGTGGTAGCCCCCAGGCCTCCCGGCTCCTGATCGTGTCTCCCACAGTCTGTTCATAACATAATTCTTAACCAAAGACCCGTAAGGGAGGCTGCGCTGCTCTTCTGCTCAGTTCCTCGGTGATGGCCAGTGGCCAGTCCGCGCATGGCCAAGCGGCCTAGCTCTGAAGACCCGGCCCAGCCACCTCCACAGCCTCGTCTCCAACCCCCACCCCCCCACCCCAGCTCTGCCAGCCCCCCACCTCCTCGCGCATCTACCCAGGGCTTCAACTTGCTGCTCCCACTGATACACCCCATGCCTCCTCCCTCGCTCATCAGGTCTCGCCCACATGGTTTATCAGAGGCTCCTGAGTCCATGTCTGACAGGGCACCCCAGCCCGCACTCCTGCTCCCCCTCCGTCCATTTCCTCCTCGCCTCCCCCACCCGCTGTGGGGAGCCAGGCGTCCAGGAGCAGCTCCTCCATATGCAGGGGCCCGCGGGGACCTTCCTCTTCCTGCCAGGCCCGGGTCGGCGCCTGCACAGCACGAGCCCTCGAAAGTGCGTGTTTTTAACTCGTTTGCATAGAACGCGTGGGGGAGGGCGGCTAATGAAGGCGCAAGGGTGCCGGGCACACAGTCTGCCACGCGTGGCCTGTGGGCTGCGCCGCGGGTTCCCACCCACTCAAGTCCCCCGGGACGATGGTCGTTTCTGCTGCTGTTTCTCTGCACCATTGACCCCCTCATCCACCCAGAGTCCAGCTCAAGAGCAGAGGCTGTGTGAGCAGGTGCCGGCCCGCACGTGGCTGTCACCGCACATCTGGTTGCCAGCCCCCCCCCCAATGCTAGGTGCCGGGTGACCCCTCCACAGAGAGTCCCTTCTCCGTCCCAGGCGCATCCCACAAAGCCCATCCGAAGCTGGAAGGCCACTGTTGCCTGCTCTTTGCCAGAACTTTCTACAGTTAGTGACCAGCAGACCCCATACGAAAGAGCCCGTGTGCACGCGTGGGCAGGCTCCGTGGGCACGTGGGCACGTGGGTGTGCCCGTGCCTCACGGTAACCCGTCCGAGCCGATGGTTTCCCATTGAAAGCTGGTGTTCCAGGAGAGGGGAAGAGACCAAGGACCGAGTACACGACTAAGTAAGCGAGAAGCACCAGGCCGGCCGGCCAGGGAAGCGGAAGTAGCTGCCGCAGGCGGGGGAGCGGCGGCGGGCCGGGTTTGAATCCCGCCTCCCTGTGCCAGCTCCGGCCCCTGGGCGGGTCTTCACCATCTCTCACCTCCACTCCGAGCGCTATGAGTGGAGCCAAGCAGCCCTGCCTCAGAGGCAGCCGCCAGGGCGAGAGAAGATGTGCTTAGAGGAGGGGCCGAGGAGTGCCCGCTGCTGTTAAATCAGCCCTGGGCTACGCGGCTCATTCCTCAGGTCAGGAAACATCAGGCTGGCTGTCTCCCTCGAGGTGAAAAAAGAAGCATTTAACTGTAAGCCCAGAGCTGACTGTCGAAGGCCATGGGTGATGCTGAACAGTAGGGCGGGGGCGGGCGGGAAGGGGAGGTTGTCCCTCCCCAGGCGGACGGCACCGCCAGGGCACTGCCCTCGGACGCCAGGTTAGAGCAGGTGCAGAGCCTGCCCTGCTTCCCTCCGTGCCACTCGCTTGGGTCACACGTTCTGACCCCTCCGGGGGCCTGAACAGACCCAGTCGCTCTGGCTTTGTCTGCCCAGCCTGCGGGGGGGGGGGGGGGCGATGCAGGGCTGCCCTCCACCCACGGCCCTCGGTTGAGCCCTCTCAGGACGGCAAGGCACGCCTCTGAAGGACGCACGCGGGGGGCGACCAGGCTCGGGCTGATCTGTGACACCCTGCACTGTGGGAAGAGCTCAGGAGATTTATCTCAGTGCAGTGGCGGATGCAATGGCGTGAGCGCACTCCGCCTGTACAAGCTTCCTCGGCACACCGGGAAGTGGCAGCGCCCGCCTGAGTAAGCCCCCTAGAGCCCCTACATAGTACCCTATCTTTCCTACCATTGGTTGCCCTAAGGATGCTGTAAACTTCTGATTGGTCTGGAATGTTTTATATGTCCCTGTACTTAAACAATAAAGTTCAGACTGTGTCTTGAACCTGTCTCCGGAGTCGGGCATGCTTCGATAGGACTCCGTCGGCCTCACCCCCGCGGGACCCGCACGGCCAGCGCTTCCTAAACAGGAGGTGAGGATGCACGGAGATCCGACACTGAAGGGCTTGCAAACGTGTGAACACCCATCACCAGCCTCGTGGCCTCTCGCTAAAAGGGCGCCGGCGTGTCCTCCGGTTGGGAGAGCAGTCACTGCTCCGGCCGGGCAGGCCGTGGACGGAGGGGGCGCTGGCTACGCCGCAGCAGCATCGGGGGTGATTAGCTCCCCAGGAATTAACCCGTCTTTAGCAAGAATTGGCAAGTGGAAGAAACGCGCTGATGAAATTGAGTTGTTGTTTCATCCCATGTCCTGTGTCCTCCCTGGATACATGCTGTCTCATGAGTCTACGTGGACCACAGGCGAGCAAACAAGCGACCAGGCTCACTTGCTGCCGAGTTAGAATTCTCCTTCCACCACAAACTGTGCACCCTGCCCGTCCGCGGAAGCTTCGGTGTTTGAGATGAGCCCGTGTCGACCCCCTGCTTCCCCCCCCCCCCCCCCCGCACCAGCTCTTCCCGGGGCTCATCCCAACTGGGCCCGGCCACGCTGCGCTCGACACAAGGACCCCCCGGAACACTGCACAGGAACCTCCCCGGCTGCCTTCTTCACGCGTCTTTGTTTCACCCCAACTGCAGAGGCATCTGTGATCACTGGAACCGAGATAGAGGTGGGCGGTACCCAAGGAACTTTTAATAAAATAAAATGAAGGAGAGCAGTCATCCCATTTCTAAGGTAACTGATCTTTTTACTAAATTTTTAAAACATGGCTTTTATGTAGACAAGCTTACAGCATTTCATGATTATTCCGGATGGTCATCTCTGAGCCCTTCCCATCTGGTATATCGCACTGCAGAATGCCCGGGTAGGAAACATATGCCCACGCTCTTTGTAATCACTTAAAGCTAAATGCAGAATGTGGGCCAGGCCGGAACACCTTGAAATAATGCTTAACTAATCACAAAGCAGCTCTTCTGCAATAGGTGAGCAGACCTCTAATTAGACGGAGGAAATAAAGCTGCCACGGCAGGATGAAGGGATAGAGAGAAATGCGCAGTAATTACTGCTCCATCGTCAGCGGAAGCAGCATCACACACGGCTCACGAAGCAGCTCTGTACGCGACCAGGCCTCCTCCCGGTGCTGGGAGCTGGGCACACGCAGGCTGACCTGAGGTCCCCAAGAGTCGCTCGCAAAGGGAGACGTGGCCGTCAGGGGCAGGAAAGGCGTGCGGCAAACTGAAGAATCATGGTACTTGTTTTCATTTTTTAAAAACACATATTATAATTGATTTCAGAGAGGAAGGGAGAGGGAGAGAAACGTCAATGATGAGAGAGAATCATGGATCAGCTGCCTCCTGCACGCCCCACACTGGGGATCGAGCCTGCAACCCAGGCAGGTGCCCTGACCGGGAATCCAACCGTGACCTCCTGGTTCCTAGGTCAACGCTCAGCCCCTGAGCCCCGCCGGCCGGGCGGTACCCGTTTTCTTACTCGCTCGCACATCCCCACGCCAGGCGAAGGCCGCTGCTCACTCAGGACCGGGCAGGGCTGCGGCTGGGATACTCTTTTCAGCGATCGGTGGTAAACGCAACGTGTGAACGGCGCCCGCAGGCAGTGGCCGTACATTGGAGGTGACGTTGGGGAGGACTCACATTCTGTCGCTGGGAATGATCTTGTGTCCTTCTCGGAACCAGGTCACCTGGGGCCTGGGGTAGCTGTGGAGGGGCGGCAGGTCCAGGACGGCCGCCTGTCCCTCGGGCACCGTCTTCCTCTGCTCTCCAGCCAGGAAACTGCCCATATCTGCGGAGACAATCAGGCCTCTTAGGTTCTAGAAAGCTCTCTCTGGGGGGGAGGGGCCCAGGTGGAAGGAACTGCATTTCACAGCATCCCCGACGTGGCGAGGAGGAGCCGAGAGGAGGCTGAGCATGTGCTGATGGTGCCGGCTGGCGGGGAGAGGCCCGGGCCAGGTGCCCACGGCCAGGTGCCCACGGAGCGCCATCAGCAGCCTCGCCCGCGCTACGCTGCTGTGACAAGACGGTTGCTAATACTTTTCCCTGGACGAGCTGCTGGAAGCTGCCTAGAGCCACATGAGCTGGAGGCCACTCTCAGAAGTCTCCTGCTCCCGAACCCCTCACGCTGGTTTCCCCACGCCCCGCCCGCCGGGGCCCCTCTCAGTCTCTCCCTCCCTTTGTTCCTGGGGCGACTGCTCCCTCACAGCTCTCCTGGGTTGAGCCATTTGCAAGCCCGGGCTCATTTCAGAGGCGCTCCCAACCCCATGCGCTGACTTAGTTTGGGGCAGACGGGTGTTGTTCCAGTCTTTGTGCTACTTGGTACCAATTTAGAAAATGAGGTCACGGGAAAACCAGCCATTAGCATGTGGGTATAAGTGGCCAATGTTTACATTAGTAACGTCTGAAATTTTTTGAATGATTAGGCACACACATATGTGTATATGCATAGACATGACATATATACATTTGTCTGAATATATAGGAATTTGGAACAGAATATCTCTATTATCAATGGCTTTTTTATTCAAGAGAAACTATTTCCTATATTACAAGCAGCATTTAACAGTCTAGGACAGTGATGGCGAATCTATGACACGCGTATCAGAGGTGACACGCGAACTCATTTTTTTGGTTGATTTTTCTTTGTTAAATGGCATTTAAATATATAAAATAAATATCAAAAATATAAGTCTTTGTTTTACTAGGGTTGCAAAGATCAAAAAATTTCTATACGTGACACGGCACCAGAGTTAAGTTAGGGTTTTTCAAAATGCTGACACGCCGAGCTCAAAAGGTTCGCCATCACTGGTCTAGGAAATAAATTTAATAGATTTAATAGATTAGGAAAGCAGTTGTGGTTATTTTAAAGTAAACTTTGTTATCAAAGAGCAGGAGAAAACAGAGGTAAGAGAAAATATAGGAGATAAATCATTAAGCAAGAAAAAGTCCAAAATTTAATTTTACAAAATAGCATTTACTAGATGATCATAAATTCCAAGCCGTTAACTTATTCGAATGTCTGGGGTGTGACTTTATTGATAACGTTTTCAATGTTTCCATTGGAAAAGCTCTAAGCAGCCCTGCCGGCAGATTGGGCCGAGTGACTGGCCCACAATTCAGAAAAGCCGCTGCCTTCCTAGTCATGGAAGATGTAAGTGAACATGGGTGATCTGCACTCAGGCCCCAGCAGCCAGGACACAGGAGAGCAACTGGGAATCGCTTTAGTTCGTGCGAAACACTGACCACTGTGGGCCTGACTGTGGGCAGAATAACGAAGGAGAGAAGGCGGCCATCGCTGCTCAGCACAGCCCCGCCAGGAGCACGTAGGGTTCTCTGGCCTCTGTCAGGACGCACGAGTGTGGAATTTAACATTTCATGACGCCCTTTGCTTTCTTTGAAAGGAAGGGACATTCTGGTAGCAAATTCGCACTAGAATGAAGCAGACAGGCCACTGTAGATGGACGGGACCTGTCACAGGTTATGGACTAGAAAAGTACTAAATGCTTTACATGGGCCAGCTCCCCTCACCTGGTTGAATCCTGGCTCCCCTGGAATTCAAGCTCCCTATTTTCAAAAGTTTCCTTCTTCAAAATGGGCCCGCCCAACAGGATTAACTAGCCCCATGGTCGGCAAACTGCGGCTCTCAAACCACATGCGGCTCTTTGGCCCCTTGAGTGTGGCTCTTCCACAAAATACCACAAAATACCACATGCAGGCGAGCACGTACAGTGCAATTGAAACTTCGTGGCCCATGCACAGAAGTCGGTATTTTGTGGAAGAGCCACACTCAAGGGGCCAAAGAGCCGCATGTGGCTCGCAAGCCACAGTTTGCCGACCACTGAACTAGCCCAACAGGATTAACGAACCCAACAGGGTTAACTCACCCACTGTTACATCTACCCGCCGGGGATGTGACGAGCCACGGGCTCTGGTCGTGCAGCTCAAGGATCTCTGAACACATCATCATTGCAAGGAACGGATTCTAACTTGATGAAATGTTACCGAATTGGGTTTAATTTTTTAATTAAAAACACTGAATGTGAATGTAACGAAAGCTCAGAGCAGCTCACTAATTCATAGAGCAGGGGCGGCTTGCTCTGTTTCTTATTTTATTTCCACCCTCCACAGCGCTTCCTGGGCCCTCCACGGGCTGAACTGAAAGGTGCCCTTCCCCTCATCAGCCCCATCGTCATCGGACCAGCCACCCCGCAATTCCCTTCTCTTGCCACCGGCTTCAGCAGGGACTCAATTCCACGTGGGACCCCAGACAGAAGCCAGCCCCGAGGCGGCCGAAGGTGACTGACGGGCACCCCACCCTGTCCCCGGGCCCTGGAGAGCTCAGTGGACACGTACACGCGACGTGGACCTCCGATCTTCTCTGCAGGAGCGCGCCCCGCCGGTTCCGCACCGCGCAGCGGTAGAAGCCCGCGTCCAGCCGCCGCAGCGCCGGGATCACGTACCTGCCGAACACGGACACAGCGTTAGTGACGCCGCCCACAGCAGCCGCCATCGCACGCGGCGCTCCGCTAAGACCGTTTCTAATAAGTAATGTCCGTGCAATCCTTCCTGCCCCGCACGCCTGCTGCCGCTGCGACCTGTTTGAGGGATGACTCAATCTGCCTCCGTCCCCCACCGGCTGTAAATGTCCGGGAAACGGGTGTCAGATCTGCCGTGTTCATCGCTGCCCCCGGGGCGCCGCCTCAGCGCCGGGCGCCTGTGCACGCAGGAGCCGCCGCGCCCGGGAGGAGGGACGCCAGGCGCAGAGCTAGCGAGGCCGCGGGACACTAGTCGGCAAGGCCGAGGGCGCCGTGGCATCCGCATCCGGCCAGCGTCGCTCCCACACCATGCCAGGCGCACCGCCCAACACGAGTTGCCCGCTTTCCTTTCTCTCTTCTCCTCCGGGGCCCAACGTTCATTTTAAAAGCTCTCGGGAGGGCTGAAAGGGCCATGCATTTGTATTTCCATCCCTGTGACTGTCAGCAATCATCCTTCAAATCAGCGCCTTTCAAAGAACGTCAGTAAAGCCTTATAGGAAAAAGTGCAGAGAAGGCACAGTTTCCACAAAAGCCTGCTCTAGGGTTACCGTTGGTTTGATAACTTAGGAGGTTTTGAAACCCGCAAGCAAGTGGGATAAATAGCCCAGAACCACTTAGAGTGAGCTCACAGCTCCGAGGCCACGCCGTTCACGCTGCGCGAGAGCTTTAGCGGGCCTCTGGCCGCGCTCGCAAACAAATCGAGAACAGGGTTTAAGGTCTGAGCTGGCACCTTCCACACGTGGGCAGCTGTCTACTACGACGAAGAAGAGGGCTGAAGCCCAGTGAATGCTGCCTATTTTCCGAAAGAGGGAAGAGGTGAGGATGCACCCCTTGTGGAAAAGATGTTCTGGTCACGGGCATCTCGGTTAAGAACAGCGCCTCCCGCCTGGCCGGTGTGGCTCAGGGGCTGAGCGCCGACCTAGGAACCAGGAGGTCACAGTCTGATTCCCGGTCAGGGCACAGGCCCGGGTTGCAGGCTCCATCCCCAGTGGGGGGCGTGCAGAGGCAGCCGATCCATGATTCTCTCTCAGCATTGATGTTTCTCTCTCTCTCTCTCCCTCTCCCTTCCTCTCTGACATCAATAAAAATGTATTTTTAAAAAGAAGGCTGCCCCTTACACCGCAGAGTCAGAATACTTAACGCAGGTAGGAGGCGCCAAGGTGGGATTTCATGTGCTCAGTTCCTAAGCACACCCTGAAATCACTTATATTCACCTAATTGCTCATCTTCTTTTTCTTCTTTTTTTTTCTTTTTTGGTGGAGATGCCGGAGATTTGCTCATCTTTTTACTCAAGTGTGTCCAATTAGTCAACCCCCAAAAAAGATCTGATAGGCATAATTTTTAAGCAAAAAACAAAAACAAAAACAAAAACCACATTTGGACCATACAGCTAATTCAGTATTAAGCAAATATTAATCAAAGTATGTTTTCCCTCTGATAACCATCTTGAGATCCTATGGCGAGATTAATAAAATCTTTTATGAGGAAAATATTGCTGACTTTTAATATTCAAAATTTCTTTTCTGAGGAATGGTTTACCTCAAATAAAAAATTAATTAGTGCATCGACTAGTAAATCAGAATAATACCGAAGAGAGCAGCACAAGGAGTCGGTGCCATGTATTTAAATTACAAATAAAATGAGAAGGATGAGGGGTTTTAGCATGTACCGTGATTCTAAGAAGGAGGAGTTCTGAGACTGCATTAAAATAAAGTCAACGCAAGTTTTTGGAAAAGAAATAACACGGTCATTAGAGCATGTATTTGAAAAACTATAAGAACAGCTTCGTCCCTGCGGCGTAACCACATTTATATCATTGGTATTCGTGCCATTTTCCCTTTCTGGAGGAATCTTAACTAGCTGCTACATTCTGATGCATTTCTGTAGCGCTCCCGCGTACGAGTGCACAAACTCAGCACTGCTTTCGAACAACGGAGACAGCGCCGAGTGGCAGACATATGCTGTTCTGTCCCGGAGCTTTAGCTGAATGCCTCACTAGGGGAAAAATATACAAAAAAGTTGCAAAGTCCTCCCACCTATTACAGGAATTTCCTACACATTATGTTCGCCCAACAGATGGGAACACTCCTCGCAGGCCTCTGTTTATCAGCACACATTTTCAAGGCGAGAAAGTTTCCTGGCGCTTTACAAGCAACTACGATGACATCTTCGCGCCAGATGCCACGAAAACACAGAGAATGCTGCCCCGGTTTCAAGTAAACTCGGCAGGGAATGTCACACCACAGTGAAATTCTACTAGGCTGCCCAGACGGTGTGGGTCAGTGGTTGAGCCTCGACCTATGAACCAGGAGGTCGCAGTTCCATTCCCAGTCAAGGCACATGCCTGGGTTGTGGTCTTAATCCCCAGTAGGGGGCGTGCAGGAGGCGGCCAATCAATGATTCTCTCTCATCGTTGATGTTTCTCTCGCTCTCCCTCTCCCTTCCTCTCTGACATATATATACACATCTCTCCATCCTACTAGGCCATTGGTCGGCAAACTGCGGCTTGCGAGACACATGCGGCTCTTTGGCCCCTTCAGTGTGGCTCTTCCACAAAATACCACGTGTGGGTGCGCACGTACAGTGCGATTGAAACTTCGTGGCCCATACTCAGAAGTCAGTTTTCGGAAAGGAGATAGACGAAACAAGTATGCAAGACGAGTGTGGATGGGAGAGTTGGAAGGGGTCGACCTCAGTGAACGTACCTCAATCAGATTGAGGACGTTTTTAGCAAAGGTCAGCTTAGGAGTACCCTGATTAAGTTAATAACAATGTACCTACCTATATAGTTGAAGTTTAAAAAATTTGGCTCTCAAAAGAAATTTCAATCGTTGTACTGTTGATATTTGGCTCTGTGGACTAATGAGTTTGCCGACCACTGCCCTAGGCTAACAGAATAGTGTCCAGGCCAGTTCACCATCAGGAAGAGCAAATTAAAGAAAATCCAACAAAATCACAGCAAAACCAAGGGTTGAAGGGAATGCCTCCACTTCCGCTAAGTAGAACAAGGTCCTGAACTGCCGCTCAGAACGGGCCACAGGCACAGCCCGTGTCTCCGGGACGCGGCAGCGGGTGCACTGCAGCTGGGACAGTGCTCCGACCAGCCCTCCCGGGGGCAGCGGACACTTTTGGTCTCCGAGCATCTGCTCACTCTCCCGTATTTGGAGAGTGCTCCGCTCGGAGGCCTGGGGGAGGCCGACCCAGCGCCGGCCACCGGCACTGTGGGCTCTGAGACCTGGGCCAGGCGAGCAGTGCGCGTGTCCCATGCCCATCGGGGCAGCGTCCCCCGCAGTGGCACCCAGTGCCCGTGTCCCCAGCAGCAGGGCCCTCGCTCAGAGAGGAAATGCAGCTGGCTCCTCCCCCTGCTACAGGAAGTCCTGGCAGAAACTGCAGACCATCCGCCCGGGGGGACTCTGGTGGCTGGCACTCAGCAGCAGGTGCAAGGGGCACTGAGGCTCGCAGAACAGGCTCCCTCTGAGTCTCCTGTGTCTGTTCCAAAAGCCCTGTGGCTCCACCTTTCATCTGAGCCACGACTTGGCCACCAGCTCCCCGCAGCCTGGGTGGCCTGCATTCAGGTGCAGTGGCAGCACCCCACATCAGCCAGGCCTCGTGCCGCGTGCTGCCTGTCCGGGGTTCTCTGCGCCAGGATGTCCACGCAGGCACTTCGGGCCTGAGTGAGGCTGGGGCCGTGGGCCATCCGCTGAGGAAGGAGCTCAGAGGTGACTGTGTTCGTCTCCCTCTGTCCCAGGGGGATCAGTGGAGCCTCTGTAAGGACCTTGATACTGAGTGGGTCCTCGTTCTGTCTGGGTTGCACTGGGTCTTCCTCCTCGTGTCGCAGCTCTGCCCTTGCTCTCGCTGCCTGAGTGTCCCAGACACCTCGTGCCAACCCGCCTCTGCAGTTTCCAGAGAGCCCAGCTGATCACAGAGAGCGAACTGTCCGACGTGCTGCACAATCGCTGTCGTTTATTATTTGCCTCTTCATTGGTAGTGGCCACTGAGTTTACGTTGTAAAATTGGATGTGGCTGTGATCCGGTTTTGGTGATTTTTCTAGTGCCTTCTACACGTTGGTATATTTAGAGATCATTTCACCTTTGTTTTCTTATAGTTTAATTTTTTAATGTAACTCTTAAATGACTCTGAAATGTACTGGGTGTCTGGTATAAAAAGAGGACCCATGTTCAATATTGTTTCCAAATAACTGACTTCTTTGCCGCTGGTTCTAATGCTCACTTGAGGGTGTGGGTTTTTATGGACACAATGGTCTAGTTCAAACTCCCTTCTGGAATATTTCTGTCCGTTTGTGTCCCACTAACATGTCATTTAATTACGGTGTCTCCTGGGAGGGAATCCTCCTCCCTGTGTTCGCCTAGTGTCTGAAGATTCGTTGGGCTTCTTTTCTGTTTATATTTCGACATGCACTCTGTGTCCGCTCATGAATCATGGTACCCTCAGCAAACCCCATTGGGACTTTTCTTGAAATTAGGCTAAACTTCAACAACAATTTCAAAGGAATTTAAATTTCTACAATGTTTAGATTTCCCAACTAGGACGACGTTCACTACTTTTCTTCATGTAGGTTCTACTCATCTGTATATATAAAACCCTAATATGCAAATAGACCAAATGGCAGAACATAGCAACCAAACAACCAGCTGCTATGACGTGCGCTGACCACCATGGGGCGCGCACGGAACATGGTAGGCATCAGTAGCAGGCAGCAGAATGAGGAACATGGTGGGCATCGGCCGCAGTGGGATGGTGGAGCAGGTGAGCGGGGGCGCTAGACCAAGGCGGGGCTCCGGTCTCTGTCATCCAGGCAAGCCTCTGGTGGTTACTGAAAATTCTTTGCTCCCGTGTGCCATGGTCCCGCCAGGTGCTCGCACCTGCTGCCAGCACCCACACCTGCTGCTGGTGCTGGTCCCACCCGCACCCGCTGCGGCCCCTATCGCCCCTGAAGGCTTCTCCACCTCCCCCTGCTCCTGAGGGGTGATTGGGGCAGCAGCTGCCACTCACACTCGCTGACGGCGCCAGCCCCATTTGCACCTACTGTTGGCGCCAGCCCTAATCGCTCTGCGCCGTCAGCGGGTGTGAGCAGGGCCGGTGCTGTCAGTGCATGGAACGGCAGTGGCAGGAGCAGGGCTGCCAGCAGACAGGGGACCAGGGGCCACTGTGGGAAAGGTGGGGCAGGGCCGCGGAGGATGAGCCGAGACCCGCCCCTGAGCCTACTGCAGCCTCATGGCCCACAATTCCTTTCAAGGTGCACAAATTCATGCACTGGGCCCCTAGTTTCTTATAAAGGTGATTTCCAGGCATTGAATAATTTTTAGTGATATTATGAAATTTTTTATCTTTGGATAAGACTTAGGAAAAAGTAACTTCCCCCTTAATAATTCCTATTTTTTTAATGGAATAAAAAAAAATCCATGAATTTTCTATCATTAGACTGTCCTAGAGGCTGAGCACAGAGACAGGCCCAGGAGGAAGCGCTGAGATGCTTCAGCAGCTTAGAGCATCCATTACCACCCCGCCCGCTCTGTAGCAATGAGCACTGTGCCCAGCACCAAGGAGGTCTTGGCTTGGAGATATACACTTTGAATACAATTGCAAAATAATGTTTTAGCCCAAAATAGAAAATAATTTAGAATAAATGTTGTTGTTTTTTTTTGGGGGGGGGCGGGCGGGCAGGTAGAAATGGTTTTCTCATGAAACTGCTATCACTTTGTAGGGTAGTCACCTGTGCTTACATGTGGAAATGAGCAGGCCCAGGAATAACACAGCAGCTGGAACTCGCCAGAACTCACCGTGCAGTTTAACCGTAACACAAGCAGCCAAGAAATTGCTATTTTTTGTCAAAGCTGCAAAGGTGAATTTATATTATTTTCTCTGTGAGAGGGTTAGCATTTTCATCACTGACACCAAGTGTGGGGGTGGGGTCGGCATTCATGCCAGGCGGGAACAGCCACCATTTCGGAAGGCGCCGTGTTTTCAATTCGGGACGCGGAGCCCTCGCGGAGGTGAGCGCCCGGCAGCCGGAGGTGCTGAGCGGGAGTCAGGCGATGGAAGAGTAATTTGGAAAACCAGCCTGAGGTTTTTAGACAGGTTTTATATCTTGAAAAAAATGATGACAAAACACGATGGATCCTCGATAACCCATCTCAGTCCTGGAGCCTCATGAATAGAATGTAATTTATCACGTCGGCCCCAAGTCAGCGGCTGCAGAAACCCATCTCTCCCAGCGAGCTCCCGGGAAGCGGCCGCCACGCGGCTGCTTGTGCTCATGGTGCGCGTCCGCCTGCCCGGCTCCAGCGCAGGACGCCGGTCTCCTGTGGACTCTCCAGAGCCTCGACGAGCAGGCGCGGCCAGGGCAGGGTCCCCGCCTCCAGGATGTCCAAGTTCAAGTTTGGATGGCTGCACATATAAAACGATGGCACCGTGCAGCGTCCTGGGCTTACGAATTAAAATGTTACACCACTGTTTTAAAACGTCTCCAATGGAATCTAAATAACAGAGTGGTTTTGATCGCCACATGAGCCAGTTTTCAAAATGAACTCTAACCAGTTCAGCTTCCACATCGTTTCTCTTTTCTCTTTGAAGTTGCGCATTACACCTACTCACCCCACAGAAGCGTATCCTCGTGTAACAGAGTTTTATGCATTAAGGATACACATCGATTGCCCACCCGGCTTCTCGGAAATAGAAATGTGCACGTAAATAGCAATTTGGAGGGAATCCCCTTTGTCCAAAAGATTGAAGTGCTTTTTATAAAAATTTCTTCTGGGTTCCATGTTCACTGTTCATTAAAACACAATAAATGTATTACATACTTTGAAAAATAACGAGCAAACATTAAAAACTTAGAAAGGAAACCGGTTTCTTAATGAGACGGCAGTGACCGTTTTCAGTTACTTCGCATTTCGTTAAATGGCAAGTGAGTTGCTACTAGAATGAACAGAATTGGACAGGAATTTAAAGAAGAGGAAGAGGAAGGCCTGGCCAGGCCGCACGCAGCTCATTTGCTGGGAATGAGTGAGTGGGAGAAACGAGCACGGGAAGCTCTGAGGTCACACAGGCGGCCGGGGCCTCCACAGCACATGCTCTTTGTGGGGGGCAGTGAACGGAGGTGTCTTCTGCAGAAATGTTTGGGGAAACATGAGCACAGCCTTCCCGTGGGGGGCGCTCCTTCTAGATCAACACAGAACAAGGACCTGCGGGTGGAAGGAACTCTCCCCTCCTCCCAGAAATCGGTACCCCAGCCCGGAAACGCAGTACTGTGTGCTTCCTAGACCTTTTCTCCACCTGCTTTCCATTTCCAGCAAACCGGGGCCAGTCCGATGCTAATGCATGGAAATGCGGGCCTCGGAGCCTGACAGCACGTGTGCGGGCTGCTGGAGCGCCGCCCTCACCTGGGGCACCTCCCGCAGGTGCTGTCCTTGCTGGGCACTTGTCCAACCTTCCTGAGGGCGGCAGCCTGGCTGAGGACTGTTGGGGAGCAGAGCCGGTGAGGGGAGCCCGGCCTGTGCAGTGTCACTGAGGGGGCTCCGGGCTGGGTCCAAACACCCCATTTCCAGGGTCAGGTTTGCAGTTATGAGAAATACATGTAGAGAGAGAAATACGTGTAGGCTCTCTGGCTGCCTGCAGGGCCCACTCTTTGGGTTAAGCCAAATGTTTTGAACTGTGTGTCTGGCTGGCGCCCTAGGATGGCTTTGAGCGGGAGACTCGGACGGGCCAGGGTGCCTCTCGGCTGTGAGACGAGAGACACTACGCAGAAGCCGGTCAGGAGAACACACGGGTGTGATCTCAGCGGCTCGGTTTCGGAACGCAAGCCTGTGGAGACTGAGGGTCTAGATCGCAGTCTGTCTGCCACTGTCCTCGGCCATGACCTCAGGGTGAAGACACCAGGACAGGCCATCCACGGACCACTCCTTTTTATTAGGACGAACAAGCTGGATTCTCTTAAAACATCCTTCCTATCTGCCTAGGGCACCAAAGCATTGCCATCTGAATTTTAGGACCCCTCTGAGGTGGGGTCGTAAAACGAACGACTTCCTACGAGTGAGCAACACAACCTGTATGAGAATAGTAAACCCATTCTGAACGCATGTTCAAAGCTACCCCTTCCTCCTGGGTGCGTCAGAAAGCCACTCCCACCGGGTCAATTCCTGGGCCTCCATGCCGACAAGGGCAACGCTCTACACACACCCACATGCAACGGAATCCCAGCCTGAGGCGACCAGGTACCTGTACTCGCTGCTGTAGGCGGTGACCTCGCTGTCATTGCGCAGCCACTTGAACTCCAGGGGCCAGCTGCCCTCGGCCAGGCAGGTGAGGACCAGGCGGTTGCCCTCCAGGTGCGTCTGCGGCAGGCCCGGCTCCGTCTTAAAATACGGCACAACGTCCTCTGAAGAATTTTAAAAAAGAAGAAGAAAGAAAGAAAATAGCTGACTAAAGTGCATGTGAAAATGGCATTCATCTAATTAGTGAATCACTTGTTTACATCGACTCATGTATTCGCAAAGAGACATGCACCCCTATGGTCAGGGCAGCATGATACATGGCAGCCAAGGCATGGAAACAGCGAAGTGCCCGCGGGAGAGGACTGGATGGAGAAGGCTGGTCCACACCCACCGTGGGAAACTGCTCAGCCACAGAGGACGAAGCGGCGCCATTTGCAACAACATGGATGGACCCTGAGAACATGATTCCGAGCGACAGTCAGACGAGAAAGCTAAGAGCCATGTGATGTCACGCGTATGTGGCTGTAAAACTGACGCAGGAACACACACGGCAGAGGGGTGGTGCCAGAGGGAGGGGGTGGGGAGAAGGGGGCCGAACATGAGGCGACAGGAGCAGAGCTGACTGCAGTGGGCACACGGTGCCATATGCAGATGTTGTACCTTAGAAACCCGCACCTGAAACCTGTATGCTCATGTAGACCAATGGCACCCCAATCAAACGTAATTAAAATAAAAATAACGATAAAATAAAGTGGCCTTGTTTTAAAAGTAGCAATGACGGCCTTGCGGCCCCCTGGAAGCTCTCAGTGATCACAGTTCCCATGGCTGCGCGCTCACTGGCGGCACCATCCGAGCGCGTCTGACGGAGCCACCCGGGCTAGTCCACGTGGGTTCACCCACATTTCTCCAGGGGCAGGCGGGCCCTCTGCTCCCACAGCCTGGGGGCAAGGAGGCACAGTGTCCTCAAGGTGACAGCAGGGGTGTACCTGGGCTCTGAGGAGGCCACGCCCTCGAATCGCCTTCCATAACTAGCAAACTCATGCCTGCACGGACACCATGAGGCACCCAGCTCAGCTCACGCACAGGAGGGGGCGCCACCCCGGGAACCTGTGTGTTTCGCACAAAGGAATAGCACAGGGCAACGGGAGTGAGCCACCTACAGCCACACACGACCCGGAGCCGGTGAACCCCACAGACACCCGGGGTGAAAGACGCCAGACAGGAAGGAAGGAGTTCCCACACAGGCCGCCACCCCAGGTTCCGGGGAGTGAAAACCAGGCAGCACTGTCTGTGGTGTCAGAGGTCAGGGTGGGGGTGACCTTGGGGGGATGGGGCAGGGCATAGGGGGCTGCGGATGGAGACAGGCCAGACCTACTCTGTGTGGTTGCATGGGGGTACATATTTAGTGAAAATGCATATATATGACTTGTACAATTTTTGTATGTATGCTTCAATAATTTTCTAAAAACATATGACCACAGGACACTCAGCTTCTACTTCTTGCCATCTCAAATTCCCTGCATGACCTGGTCAGGACAGGTGGGATTCTGTTTATTCACCAGTAAAACACAGGGAATTAGATGCCTGCTCGCTTTTCCGATGAAATCCCAGGGCACACCTGTGTCATCTGCTCCCTGTCCACCTTCCAGGCCTCCTACCCTCTCAACTCACATGGACACTACACCGCTTGGCTTCTGACCTCTGAAGCCAGGAAAGCCGGTCACACCTGGGGCCTTCCCTCTGCCCTTTCCCGCCTGGACACCCCCTCCCCAAATAAGAAGATTTAACCTGGTCAATGAGCACGTGCAGCAGCCAAGAGCTAAAAGCTCAGTCCAGTCAGATCCTCTGATCAAACCAAGCGCCGAGGCCCTGGGGCGTGAGCTGCTGCGGGAGGTACAAAGGCTAGAAAGCCAGCAGGTGGCGGTGGGGACGGGAGCAGGTGCGCCAGGCCCAGCCGCAGCCGGTCTCCATGCCATCCCGGTGATTTTCAGTGGTGTTCTCTTCACACTCCACACAGTCTCATGTGAATAATAAGTTACATGGTCGCCCTAGTCACAGGCCTAGTGAACAGCACTGTCAATGTTATTATAACTAGTGGCCTGGTGCACGGATTCGTGCACATTGAAAGGAAGTGGGGCCACGCTCCCTCGTCTCTGGTTCCAGGGTGCGTCAGCCGAGAACTGCTGCTGCCAAGTCATCACAGCTTGGTAGCTTCTGTGTTGAGCATCCGCCCCCTAGTGGTCAGTGTGCATCATATGTACCGGCTGGTCAGATGGTCACTTAGCCATATATATATATATATATATATATATATCCTATCTAATAATAGAGAAACATTAGAGAAACATGGTAATTAACCATAACTTCGCTACCTTCCCATTGGCTAATCAGCGAGATATGCAAATTAACTGCCAACCAAGACGGCAGCCGGCAGCCAGGCAGCTGAAGCGAACAGGAGGCTTGCTTGCTCCAGTGACGGAGGAAGCCAAGGTTCCCCGCCTGCGGCAGCCCAGCTCTGAGCTCCAGATGCAACAATGTTGCAATTATAGAAGCTAAACAAACCCAGAAACCTGCTTTCAGCCAGCCATGGCCTCAGAGCTGGAGCCGGCTCTCAGCTACAGTGACAGCTATAGAAGGTAAATAAATCCCAGAATTAAAAAAAAAAAAGAGGCTGGGAGCTTCAGTCGCCCGCCAGCCTGAAGACGGCCCTCAGCCCCTCACCCAGACTGGCCAGGCACCCCAGTGGGGACCCCCACCCTGAAGGGGGTGTGACCAGCTGCAAAGAGCCATCAGCCTGCCATCCAGGCTGGCCAGGCACCCAAGCGGGACCCCCACCCTGATCCAGATCACCCTTCAGGGCAAACCAGCCGGCCCCCACCCATGCACCAGGCCTCTATCCTATATAGTAAAAGGGTAATATGCAAACTGACCCTAACAGCAGAAAGACTGGGAATGACTGGTCACTATGACACACACGACCACCAGGGGGCAGATGCTCAATGCAGGAGCTGCCCCCTGGTGGTCAGTTGCTCTCACAGTGGGGAGCTCTGCTCAGCCACAAGCCAGGCTGATGGCTGCCAGTACAGCGGTGGTGGTGGGAGCCTCTCCTGCCTCCTCAGCAGCGCTAAGGATGTCTGACTGCAGCTTAGGTCTGCTGACTACTGGCAAGTGGGTATCCTCCGAGGGCTGCTGGGCTGCCAGAGGAATGTCTGATTGCCATCTTAGGCCCAATCCCCCCAGGGAGCAGGCCTAAGCCAGCAGTGGTCACCCCCGAGGGGTCCCAGACTGCGAGAGGGCACAGGCCGAGCTGAGGGACCCCCTACCCCCGAGTGCACAAATTTTTGTGCACCAGGCCTCTAATATGTATGTATGTGTATATTTATATATGTATATGTATATATGTATGTATATGGTGATTTGCTATTACTCTAGAACAGGGGTGGAGAACCGCTGCCGCCTAAGGCCTGAGAAATCACTGGGTCTGGCCCTGCCCCGGTCATTAGGGGTGAGTTATTAAATGTTTGATCAAATATAGCAGCAGGCTAATTTTTACGTTGATAATTTTATGGCCCTTGAATGATGTTATAAATGCACGATGGTCCTCGGCAGATAAGAGGTTCCCACCCCAACTCTAGAGGGACGGAGTCGTCCTTTAAGCTCATTCTGGCCGCACCAAGGAGGGGTCGGGGGGACCCAGAGGTGTGAGCAGACCCGGCGGGAGGCCAGGCCAGGCACCCAGGGGGCGCTCTGGAGGGTGATGTGGGTCAGGGCGGGGAAATCATAGAGGCTGCGGTGGTGGAGAGAAACGGCTGCTTTCAAACACTATTTAGGGGGCAAGCAAAGGCAGTGATGGACTGAAGGTGGGGGTGAGGGAGAATGGGGGGTAAGGAGGGTTCAGAGATCTCTGACCCGCCCAACTTTCTGTTCGATAAACACACCGATTCTGCAGCCAGCCCTGGACATGGACAGAGTCAGACAGGCCCTGGCCCCTCAGAGATCACAGTCTGGGTCTGAGGGGTGAGGCGTGAGGCGTGAGGCGTGAGGCATGAGGCATGAGGCGTGAGGCGTGAGGCGTGAGGTGTGAGGCGCTGCTGCTGAGATGTATAACTCGGCCCGATCCAGGGGTCCCCTGCCTCTGCTGCACGTCACGTGTTCCGAGCCCTCCAGCGCGTTTTTAGGTTTGGATTCACCATCCTCTGTCCAACTCCACTGGTTGCTATGTATGTCAGCGGAGTCACCCGCTCGCACTACCCGAGCCGTGAGATAAAGCGGAATGGCAATGGCTGTGGCTCTGGCGCCTGGGGACCGGCTGCGCAGCAGGCTTTATTTATGTCCCGCCATCTGCACGCCCCTTGACAGCACAAAGAGAAACGCCACTTCCTGTGGTGGCAGCGCCCTGAAGGAATAAGTCAGAGGAAATACATCTTTTTGAAAGAAACCTGCTTCAAGATAGACACGCATGAGCTTGGATTTGGTTTTACAATGACAGGGCATCTTCGATGTAATAGATGACGCGGGGGTTCGGAATGTGAGTGACGCCGTGGTTCACGCCTCCGCAGAACACGCAGCTTCCTGAGCGGCCTCTGCTGTGCAGAAACGCTGGGCGCCTGGCCCGACCGGCGGAGAACCCGCCACGGAGAACAGCCGCACAGAGTGGCCAGCAGGTCGCTTGTGATCCAGCGACGGTAGAATTATGGCTGGCGCAGACGCTGGCATTTACATTAGGAGGAAGGGCGGAATCTCTCGTGTCTACGTTAAAGTTATGACCACAAGTATCTCACGGAGATTGGCCCACGTGCCGAGTAGCAGCAATCTCTCCAAGCCCAGCACGGCTTACCACGGAAACAGACAGCAGATCCTGAAATTAAACGAGGTATCAAGGGAGCAAAACACAAACACTTAGGCGAGAGAAAGAGACAAAAGTATTAGTATTCAGGTCGGCACAGGCCCCTACGAAAGCATGTGATCCTTATGTGCCTTAAGTGGCACAGAAAAAAGTCTGAAAAGGCCCATAAAGACAAAAATGATTGAGTTCTTTCTGAGACAGGTAATCAGACCCTGAACTGGGGAAAAGCCAGTGGGGTCGCCCTGTGGCTTTTTGAGGCAGAGTGTGTGTGTGTGTGTGAGTGTGTGTGTGTGTGTGTGTGTGCGCGCGCACGTGCGC